AGGATCATGATCTGAGCCAAAGGCAGATGTTTAACCAACTGATCCACCCGGGCACCTTGGTTAAATTTATTTGTAAGTATTCAATCTTTTTGATACTGTTGTAAATGGTACTGTTTTCTTGATTTGTCTTTCTGATAGTTCATTGTTGGTGTATGAAAACGCAAATGATTTTTGTATATTGATTTTGTATTCTGCAGCTTTACCAAAACTATTAGCTGTAATGGGATTTTGTTGGAGTCTTTAAAGTTTTCTGTATAGTCCTGTCATTTGCAAATAGTGACAGCTTTATCTCTTCCTTTCCCCTTTGGATGCCCTTCTTTCTTTTTCTTGCTTACTTGCTTTGGCTAGGACTTCTAATATCATGTTGAATAAAAATGGTGAGAGTGGGCATCCTTGTCTTGTGCCTGATCTTGGAGGAAATCTCTCAGTGTTTCAGTTCTGAGTATGATGTTAGCTGTGGCCTTGCCATATATGGTATTATGTTGAGATATGTTCCTTCTCTACCCAGTTTCTTGAGAGTTGAAATATTCTGTATCTTAATACATCCAGAAAAGATGGACCGTGTAAACTCAGATTCTGTTTCTGTAGCAGACATCAGAATGTAAGTGGGCTCAGTTATATATATTCCAAAGAGGCCATTAATTGGGATCTTTAGGATGTTACTTCTAATTAAGTGAAACTGAGGATTTGAAAGCATTTCTTACTGTTGTAAGATGTCTAACAGTAATGTGATGTAATGTCTAACAATAGCTGGACGTAGAAAGACAGTCATAGTTTTGAACAGCAGGAAAAATTTATGTGATTCATACCAGGGTCCCTCCTTCTCCTTCTGGTATGTGACTGTTTTCATTTACAGAAGATAAATCCATGCCAAGAATTCAACTGGACATGACCTAAAATTACTTTAATCTTAGTGTATACCTTGGAGGTGTGAAGCCCGCTTTCCTTGGCAGCCTTGCATAGCTAATCCACACAGATTTTTCACATTTATGAACATGGGTCTTTCCCTAGAAGTAGCAATGGGGTTTATTAGAATATGGGGGCAGGTATAGCTTAAGAAACATATTGTAAACTTATTAGTTAATACAAAGTATCAAACTTAAAGTTGGCCAAATTATTTCTAGAATTATGCTGAAGACAGAGTAAAACATAACCACTGTAGGGGGCAAGAAAACTTGTTTCAGGAAATCGGAATCTATCACCAAGATAACCAAGATGAGCATTTGGACTATGTTTGAGGCTGAGTAGAGGATATCATAAATAATACTTTGGAGGAAACCCCCAAATGTGAATATGAAATTGTGCTGTGCATGTGATAATATTTGTCATGTAATGAGTGCTTTGCATATGGGCCCAGGTGCTAGAGGTTAGATATCACCATTTTACAGGGAAGAAAGTGAGGCTAGTGTCAACAAATGAGTCTGTAGCCAGAGTTTGGATACATTTTTTTTTTTTTTTTAGATTTTATTTATGTATTTGACAGAGAGAGACACAGCGAGAGCAGGAACACAAGCAGGGGGAGTGGGAGAGGGAGAAGCAGGCTCCCCGCAGGGCAGGGAGCCCGATGTGGGGCTCTATCCCAGGACCCTGGGATCATGACCTGAGCCGAAGGCAGACGCTTAACGGATTGAGCCACCCAGACATCCC